TATTTCAGATGCTCAATAGCTCCCAAGGCTTGTTAGTGGTCATTGTACTGGACAGCACATATCTAAAGTATTCCTTTACTGCATAATTTTAGTGATTATTTATGATTTAAAATGATTAGAAAATCAAACTCAGGTATCAGATAGGGAGTTTTTAATATAAATTATATGTAATTTTCCTTTGGAAAAAACCACTTATTTTTCCTTTTAAAAACCTACATCCATAATGAGATAGATAGTTTCACTGAGATATAAATTATCATTTAACAATTATTTTTAATTTTCAGTTATCCACTAATCTAGTATAGACAGAAAGATAATAATTTTAAGATATTGTACTATTTTAGGGGCGCCTGGGTGGCTTAGTCGGTTAAGCGGCCGACTTCAGCTCAGGTCATGATCTCGTGGTCCATGGGTTTGAGCCCCACGTCAGGCTCTGTGCTGATGGCTCGGAGCCTGGAGCCTGTTTCAGATTCTGTGTCTCCCTCTTTCTCTGACCCTCCCCCATTCATGCTCTGTCTCTCTCTGTCTCAAAAATAAATAAATGTTAAAAAAAAAATTAAAAAAAAAGATATTGTACTATTTTGGTAAGTGTTTTATTCTTGAGAACAATTTCTAATCGGTATGGAATCAATATGATTATAATATAATCTATGTCTGCAAATGTGAAATTCAGGGCAGCATAATTATTTTTATTGTAAAGAATACACTGATTTCCACAGCAGGAAAACCACTAAGCTACACAGATCACTCCTAAGGGATATTAAGTACATCTAGTATGGGTTTCTGATATACGTAGGTCAAAATGTTTCCGCTAGACTTGACATTCCTCAAATTTCTGGCTGCTTGGAGACTTTATATTAGTTTGTCCATAAAAGTCAAAGTCTTTGTTTTGAGAGTGTGATATAAAAGAGTCAAGAAATAAAAGGAATGCCTTTCATTTGCAATTATATTTGTGAAATTCTCTGTGGAGTTATAGTTGTGTGAACTTATCACACTCTTTCCTTTGGGTATTAACCAATATTAAACTTACTATATATGAAGTGCAGTGTTTCACAGAGGGGCTTTTTTTTTTTCAGGAGAATAAGGTGTTCCAATAACAGAAAATGTTATTGACCATGTAGGTTTTATTAAGATGTGGTTTTAAACTCCTCTATTCAAATTTATAGGGTAAAAAACAATAATTAAAGGCTTAGAGGTTCCACCTCAACACATGTGTTTTTTTTAGGGCTACATTCAAGTTTTAGTATGAATCTCATACTAGAGAGATCTCAATGAGATGAATTCATTTAGAGTAACTTCCAAGGATTCTAATGATCTCTAGAGTCTACTCCTGGGTAATGTTGTAGGATGAACTAAGGCATCCCTGGGTCCTCTTAGAGTAAATTTGAGTACAAGTCAAGTGGCTCAAAGATTGTCCTTTACTGACTGGACAAGATTTATCATTTCTGTCATTCCTAGTATGCATCCCTGGAGATTTCTTAGCTGTTCTGACTTTTGGTTCATAGAAGATTTCTTCTAATCCCTTGATATTAGGTGATATTAATTAGCAAGAGACAATCTTTCCTTAGAATTATACTACCACGGAGCTAGTGTATTGTGTACTTGGCCATTCAACAAATGCTTGTGGAATGGGTAATTTTTATATTGTGGTTCACACTCAGGTGCATGATGTCAAGCACAGTTGAGGAATGTTTTTAAGTTTTGAAAATTCAATATGAATCTAGTTTTTTGAGCAGTCCATCCAGCAGTTATGGATTTGCAAAGTTGGCTTCGAGTAAAAATTATTCCTATGCAATATATTAAAGTTATTAATGTCCCCAGAAGCTATTTCACACTTTCCTAGCAACAAATGCTCATTTAAGGACATTTATTGCAGATGATAATCCTCCCACCTATTATGCAGAGGAAAATATGCTATATCATTGAAATGTAAAGCATATCAAAGTACATCTGGAGAGTGAAGAAGTGTATTTGAGGAGTGTTAATAGTGGAGATGGAAGAACAGAAAGATGAATGAAAGCACTGATGGCATTACAGTGTGAAGCGAGAGGCATATTTAAAGAACAGGAAGTAGTCCTAGCTTGAAGCGATTTATGAAGAGGGGCAGGAGGAGAGATAGGAAACTAGAAAGAGAATTTGATCCAACATAAGTAGTGAAGGTTTTTTTTTTTAACGTTTATTTATTTTTGAGAGACAGAGAGAGAGCACTAGTGGCGGGGGGCAGAGAGCGAGGGAGACACAGAATCCGAAGCAAGCTCCAGGCTCTGAGTTGTCAGCACAGAGCCTGACATGGAGCTCCAACCCACGAACTGTGAGATCATGACCTGAGCTGAAGTCAGACACTCAACCGAGTGAGCCATCCAGGCGCCCCAAGTAGTGAAGGATTTTAAGTTGGAACATGATAAAGATAGCTCTTTACTGCAGGCAAAATAAAGTTTGGTGGCAGGCAGAGCAGAAGATTAGATTGGAGGCTATACGAGTAACAAAATCAATGATAAGAAGAGTGAATTGTAGGAAGTAAAGAGGAAGGGAGGGGACGAATTCATGATGGAAGTAGAAGGAAAATGGTTTGACTACTGATTAGGTGAAGGAAGAGGGAGGAGTCCAGATGACTCAGGTTTGAACCTGAATATGGAGGCAGGTGGTTTGATTAACAAAAATAGGGAAGACATAATTAGGGAAAATACAATGAGTTCTACTTTAGACACACGGAAATGTGAAGACCCATAGAACATCTAGGAGTAGATGTTTAATAAGTGGTTGAAGATGTAAAGTTGGAATCTGGGAGATAAGTACAGTCTCAAGATACAAGTGTACAAGTTTTTAAGAACAGTATTATCTGCTAAACTAATTGCCATGAAAATGCACATAAGTAATAATGCACAGCTGATAAGTCCTGCAAAAATAGGACTATTAACTGAGTAAAATTTCTGGGAGTCTATAGCCGACTTCTTCTCAGAAGTTAAGATCAGGTTATCACAGCTTTCAACCCCCTACCATTATGACATATTTGATGAGTGTTTTAATTTTAGAATCATTTTATAATAGTTGGGGCTCTTTTCCAACTCATTTAATATAATGGTACTCACAGTCTGTAAGTTTTGAGTGGGATTCTAAGCAAGAAAAGATTCTCTGGTTTGTCCAAGCTGCAGTGTAAATAGTTCGAAGCCTGGCTCTTTTGACCCTGATTAGAACTATGGTTCTCAGGATATTGTATCACAGTCTAAGACTGTTTGGAGCCTGGGAAAAGCCCCAATAAGAGAATCAAGTAGAATCTCCAGAGTTTAAAGAAAAAACCATATCACTTTCATCAAGTAATTAATTTCTTTTTAAGAAAGAACTCTTACTTACTGTATTCTGGTGGACTGTAGAACCATAAGGCACCCCCCTATAACCCTAAATTGTCTTGTTTTTTATTTATCCTTTCTAGACTACGAGTTCCTTAAGGACAAGATACTTTACCTCATTATTCATCTTTCTATGTTTAAATCCTAGTGGGGTATTAAGCAGTTTATTGGTTGCTCAAAACATATTGGTTGAAAGTCCTTTCCCTTGGCCCTGTAGTTATTGACGTCTATGCTTAGGAAGTAATCAGACATTTTATATATATACATAAAATAAAATAGATTTGTATTTCCAAATTTATAGTAGAGGAAAATTTGGGAGAGCGTTAATGTTCAACAGTAGAGAAATGGTTGACTAAATTATGGGATGTAGACATAATGGAATATTATGCAATCATTTAAGCCTGTGACATTTTTTAAACTTTTTTTAATGTTTATTTTGGGAGAGAGAGACAGATCGTGGGCAGGTGAGGGGCAGAACGAGTGGGAGACACAGAATCTGAAGCAAACTCCAGGCTCCGAGCTCTCAGCACAGAGCCTGATGCAGGGCTCGATCTCACAAACTGTGAGATCATGATCTGAGCCAAAGTTAGATGCTTAACCAACTGAGCCACCCAGGTGCCCCCAAAACCTGTGATTTTGAAGAACATTGATAACATGGAACATAAGGATAATAATCATAAATGTAAAATATATAAAACTGTAAATACAGCATACTTACAGTTTTATCTATAAACCCCTATAATTTTGAATGAAATAAATGTGACAGGAATTCTTCTTAGGATGAGGACTATTTTTGTTTAGGAAAATATATGGAGCCTATGCAAGTAGAAAATAAAACAGAGATCATGTGTTCGTAGGAAAAATGAAGCAGAGTGAAGAGTGTGACAAAGGGTGTATTTTATATAAGGTGGACATGGATGGTTTCTCTGAAAGGTAACATTTGAGCAAAAACTCAAATGGGAGTTCTATATATGGTATATATATATGGTATATATGGTTATATATATGGTATATGGGAGATATACCAGTATGTTTGTTTGCTGGTGGGAATGATCCAGTAAAGGAGGAATTTTTGGCAGTGGAGTAGAGAGAAGGGACAGCCAGAGAGGGGACACACAGGAGCTATGTCTTTGATTAGGCACACGTGAGTAGTTAGCCTTAGCTATGTCTAGATGATTCCTTCACTGTGAAGGCAAGGCGGGTGGCTGCTATTACAGGTAGGTTCATAGACACCATGGTGGGATTCATGAAAGTTCTCTTCTGATTGCTAATCTTTTCCCAGTACAGTAGAAACAAGGTCATCAAATGAGGGATAAGAAAAGAGGCATGTCGTGAAATAGTCATGTAAGGGAATGAGAAAGTGAGTCAACATTTAATTAGATAAAAAGTATATGACAATTTCTATTATTTTGTGTATTTTGGGTGAGTTTTTAATTTATCCATAAATACAGGTTTTTTTTTTCTATCTCTACATAACTCTGTATCTTTTCCATCTCCTGGCAACTAAAGTAATTAATACAGTGGCAAACTGATAGAAAATAAATGTGAAGAGAACTTGTTCAGTTCTGGAGCTTCTAGAGCAACTTATCGTAACTAAAATATTTTCTTTTTTGTTGTTAAATAATTGCACTTTTTTTCTCTGCTCCTCAACAGGGTGGTGGTGATTGTCCAGAAATGAGTATTGGAGCTATAAAAATTGCCTTGGAAATTTCTCTTCCGGGGTCTTTCATCTATGTTTTCACTGATGCACGGTCCAAGGATTATCGGCTCACTCATGAGGTGCTACAGCTTATCCAACAGAAACAGTCACAAGTGAGTAGGAATCAGCCCCCAAATTTTCAATCTGAATACAGCGGGAAGGAATTCAGGAATACCTTGGAGATATTGTGGGTTCAGTTCTGACTACCACAATAAAGCAGGTATCACAATAAAGTCAAATGAATTTTTTAGCTTCCCCGTGTACATAAAAGTTTTGTTTACATTGTAGTCTACTCTCTTAAGTGTGAAATATTATCATGTCTAGAAAAACAATATATATACTTTAATTTAAAAATGCTTCATTACCAGACAGTGCTAACCATCATCTGAGCAAGTCATACTCACTGATCACAAATCACCATAGCAAACATACTAATAATGAAAAAGTTTGAAATACTGTGAGAATTACCAGAATGTGACACAGAGACATGAAGCGAGCAAATGCCATTGGAAAAGTTGTGCTGATAGATTTGCTCAATGCGGGGTTGCCACAAACCTCCAATTTGTAAAAAACAAATAAACAAACAAACAAAAAAACAGTATCTGTGAAGCACAATAAAGCAAAGCGCAATAAAACAAGGTATACACCTGTATGGCATGTGAGAGGTTGCCTCTCCTCTTTGTCTATACTTTGGCAAAAATCAATAATTACAACTATTGATCTGTATATATGTTCTCCAATATACATATGCCATTTAATTTAAACATAAGTGGATATGTAGTATTTGTGCATATTAATACTTTGTTTTTTAATATAGAGAAGAAATGATGGGGGATTAATGAAAGTTCTTTCTTTTTTTTTTTTAATGTTTTTATTTACTTTTGAAAGACAGAGAGAGAGAGAGAGAGAGCCAGTAGGGGAGGGGCAGAGAGAGAGGGAGACACAGAATCCCAAGCAGGCTCCAGGCTCTGAGCCGTCAGCACAGAGCCTGATGCAGGGCTCGAACCCACAGACTGTGAGATCATGACCTGAGCGGAAGTTGGACACTCAACCAATTGAGCCACCCAGGCACCCCGAAAGTTCTTCTTTCTATCTTATCCCTAGAATTGACAAGAGCATAGACCTACAAAGAAGGCCTGTGTCTCAAATATCACCTCCTATGTGGAATCTTGTCTGAGTCAGACTTACTCATTGTATCAGTTAGCTATTCCTGTGTAACAAACTGTTCTACTCTCAGTGGCTTAAAACATATTTGCAGGGCTCCATTGGTCTAGGCAAGGCTTGCTCACTTGTGTGTCTGGGGATAGTTTGGGTTTAACTTATCTAGGCTGATCTTTGGGGTGACTTGGCTCTGTCTCACGGGTTTCTCACTTTTTTTTTTTTTTTTTGAGACCAGTAGGCTTGTTTAGGCATGTTCTTTTCATGGCCAAGGCAGAAGCACCAGAGACCAAGGAGAAATATGCAAGGCCTCTTGCATGTAGGCTCAGAACTGATAGAATGTCCCTTTGCCTTGGGCTGCTGCACAAAACAAATCACATGTCCACGCTTTGATTTGGAGATGACAAATTAAGCTCCACCTCTTTAGTAAGAGGGACTTCAAACACTTTTTCAAAATGCATATAGAGTGGAATATATATATTATATATTATATATTAATTATACATGTATGGTATTATAGACATATGTATGTATATGTATATTATATATGTAAGATATATATATAATATATATGTATTCCAGTTTCATAGTAATATGTTAACACATAATAGGTAGTCAATAAATACATATTGATTTATGAAAACCCTTTAAATTGTCTTCTTTTTTAAAAAAAATTATAGGTTGTATTTGTGCTCACTGGAGACTGTGATGACAGGGGCCATATTGGATATAAAGTCTATGAAGAAATTGCCTCTACAAGTTCTGGTCAAGTGTTCCATCTGGACAAAAAACAAGTTAATGAGGTCAGTTTAATAAGTGGGTCTCCTTTATTATTAACTACATTACCATAATTAGTTAGGCTGACCTAATTGTGACAGATATGATTTCAAAAACAGTTTGCAAAGAGATTTTTGTTCCCCGCCCTAGTCCACAGGTCAATAAAAGTATTAAACCAATGTGGAGAAGCATAGATTTGTATAGTATTAGTTTATGCGTTGTATTCTATACTGATGTATTATTTAGATTTAAGCATAAATGTATTTAAAATTTATTCAACAGGAATTGAAAATTTTTGTAGATCTTGTTTAGTAAAGTCAATTTGTATTTCTGATACACAGCTTTTGAATAATTGGTAAAATAAGGTGTGATGGTTTACTGAAGTTGAATATGAAAAAGTTATTGAGCAAAATTCTAATGATGTTAATCTCTAAAAGTAAAAAAAAACTATAAGTAAGTAACTTATGTAGTTAACTAAAATTTTTATGGTAATAAAATCTATAACTTACATACTAAGAAAATCTTGGTATTTTCTAAAAAAGCGTTTGAGATACGTCTGTCACAATTCTTTCTCCTTTCTGTTACCTTGTTGTGGCCTCACTACGGTAAGAATTTATTTATCTATCTATCTATCTATCTATCATCTATCTATTTATTTACTTATTTACTTATTTATTTATCTATCTATCCATCCATCCATCTATCTATCTATCTATCTTCCATTTAAGCTTCTAGGAGCATGCCAGTACTAAGATAAGGTTTTATGTAGGCACAATTCACATTTGATTGATGTGGTTACTGTTACCCAAACAAGTTCTATTAATTTCATAACAGATTCCTTTGAGTCTTGAATGAAATGGTTCAGTAATTCTTCTTATACCTAAAGAATTCTTATTACATCATGGTGGAAATAATAGGACATTGCAAATTTCTAGAATAATATCTAGCACAAATATTTTTATCAGCATATGATATACAAACTTGGAAGGTTATTTTAGTGTAAAAAGTCTTTTGTTGGAAGAAACAGCCTTAAGAAGGTTATGGCTTGAGTCCATATTGTGTCCATGATGGAGATGCTGAAATGCCTGGGCAGGGTCTGACAACTACAGGGGAATCCTTTAGCAGTTATTTGTATGAACATTTGCGTGAGAATTTGGGAACCTAGGAAGAAAAGAATTGGGGAAGAGTACAAGACTTTCACAGGACCTGGGTTTCTTTCATTTTTTTTAATGTTTATTTATTTTTGAGAAAGAGACACACACAGAGTGTGAGTGGGGAAGGGTCAGAGAGAGAGGGACACACAGAATCCAAAGCAGGCTCCAGGCTCAGAGCAGTCAGCAGAGAGCCCACCTGACCCAGGGCTCCAACTCACAAACTGTGAGATCCTGACCTGAACCGAAGTCGGCCACTTAACCAACTGAGCCACCCAGGCGCCCCCAGGACCTGGATTTCTTGTCCCATCCCATCGGCTATGTTTGACCTTAATGAAGGAAAGCCCTCTTGTAGTTGTTTTTAATCTGGAATTGTATAACACTCTGGGGTACAGTCAATATCATCAGCACAAAGTAGAGGGTATGAGTAAGGAGAGTACTGCTTTCTCTTGCATCAGTGAGGACACCACCTGCTTTGGGTGTTGTGAAGTTCCAGATTAAAAGTGACAGTGGTCTTCTGCAGAAAAATGGGGCAGAAGATGCCATTCCCAGTGGACTTGGTGGTTCTGGCAGAAAGTACTAGAGAAGAGAATAGGCGAGAAGAGACATGGCTGGCACCTCGGGCATTTGAAAGAACAGTTGTTCAAACCTGTTAGTAGTCAGGCACAACTTGGAGCTTCCCAAAACAAATTGGATGAACTTTTAGGGAGAACCATAGGACTTTATTAGGAGTTGGGTCCCAGAGCTAGAAAATAACATGGTGATTCTCATAAATGTAACTCCCATTTATATCCACATACCCAGGGAAAATGGACTAACACAAAATTGAAAATATTATTGTTGTCTTAAATGGAAAAAATAAGCCCTACAAAGATACACACTTTAGTTATTAAATAAATGGTGTGATGCATAATTTTTGTAGTCCTAATAATTTTTAACAATTCTGACAATTACCAAGTAATTTACAAGAATAACAATGTATAAAAACTTGATATAAATTGCCGAAAATTATAGATACAGATATATAACAGAAATTTAACCCGCTGATATTTTGACCTTGAAATTTAGCTTAGGCAGAATAGGACTAAAGAGAAGCATTGCTAAAATTGTCCATTTTTATAAATTGAAGTTTGAAGCAAACAGGGTGAGCCTTAATTTAGCTGTCCATCATGGGAATCCCAACCCCCTCACCATCTGGTTCAAGAAAGATCATCTCATCTACTTTGGGCCACTTGAGACTCAAGAGGAATTTAACTGGAGTCATCTTGAAAAAATTCTCTTCTAGGTATTATCCTGTATGGATGTGAATCCCAGACCTGATGCAGGCATCTTCATATAATTCTGAGAATTAAACAAATGTAAGGGAGAGTAAAAAGCTAAGAAAATCCAAAGCCTGTGGGTTAAGTCAACACTCAATCCCATCCTACTGCTAAGCCTCCAGAGTTAAGGAAATGACCCTTTTGCTTAAGCCAATTGAAAGCAAGTATTCAGTTACCTAAAGGTAAATGTATCCCAAATGAAAAGAATTCTATATTCCTTCATGACATGGTCTCTTTAAACTCCACTAAACAGGGAGAATTTGTAAATTTGTAATTTGTAAAACAGGGAGAATAGACTTCTCCATTTTCGAAAGTTATTATAAGATTAAATAAGATAATGCGTGTAAAATGTTTCAAACAAGTTCTGGTACAGGGTAAGTGCCCAATAAATGTTAACTAGTATTTTTATAATCCTCACAATGTTATTTTGCTTTCAAAGTGGAGAAATTGTGCCCCTATGTTTTTTAGAAACCAGATGGCTAGCTGTTGCTAGGAAATACATTTACTGAAATGGGAAAAGGCTGGAGAGATTTTTTTTTTTTTTTTTCCTGTGTGAGGAAAGATACTGTGAAGGGGTTACTGGAAACTGTATACACCAATGCTTTCCTTAAAGAAAGCCACCAAGGTAGAAGATTTTGTTAACAAAAAGCAGAGTGACAGAGTTAAAATTGGATTTGCAGAATTTTTAGCATATAATGTAGCCATTTTTCTTTTCTCATTGCTCCAAATTCTCCTATTGTATAAACATAAACAACTCTGGGAAAAATTGATGATATAGTGATAGCTGCACATTTAACATACGTGAGAACTGCAGGAGGGCCACACGTGTGCTTGGTCCTTACATTTTACTCAAAAGCAATTTTTCATCTCTTATTTCTAATGAAAATTGTGAAATATTATGCTTTATCCTCTCTAGTTCATCAATTTCCTAACCTAGTGGGATATTTTTTGTATCAACTTTCTCTTGAGATAACTTGAAGTTTCCTCTTTCTTCCTCTTTTTTTTAAATAATAATTAAGTAGAGTATCTTTCATCTTTATTTAACATAAAAGAAACCAAAGTGAAGAAATTATTTGCCAAGCATCAGTCTATAAATCATTGTACGGTATTACATTTTGGAAACACAAGTTAAGACACATCTCAAGGATGTACTTAATGCACCTTTGAAGTTGAAAAAGGAACTAAACAGTTTTACTTGTCCATTTCTTTGTAAACTGGGTTATTATCAATGGATCTAATTAATGCTTCCTTAGGTATAAGAAACGTCCAAGTTTGAAATCTCAAAGTTACCCACAGATGTTATATGCTAGTGTCAAAGAAGCTAATGTGAAAGATCCATTGTTAATTGGATGATTTACTTGTTCTGAATTTCCCCATTCTTTTTCCCTACCTCTCCCAATTCACGTCTCCAAACACTCTCCTCCTGTCTCTCCCTATCCTCCTACAAAAAACCTTCCACCTGGACATCCTGGCCCTATGGATTGGTGTAACTCCCTACTTGAAAGTAATGCTGGCTGTATTATATCAGAAGGGAGTTTTATTAAATAAAGGAATCATTGTCAACTAATTTATATTTTTTGAAGGACATAAATGATGATATTTGGAAGTCTCTCAGTAAATCTTAACGACTATCTTATCATGTAACATGCAGGTCTTTGGTATAAGAAATATTAATTCCAGCGATCCTTCCAGCACTTAGTGCTTTCTTTGGGAGAGGCTCCTGTGCCGCTCTGTTTGGAACGGGCAGACTCTTTTCCTCATTCTCTATTAGACATGAAAGGCTCCCATGATTCTTTCCTTTTCTCAGGCTAAGAAAATAATAATAGTATCAATTTAGATGATCGAGTGCTTGATATGGCCATTCAATAAGAGTTTAATTTTATTTCATTTAATCTTTACCATATAAGGAAGACAGCATGATCATAAACCTCAATGCATAAATGAGGGAACTGAAGCATAGGGAAGCAGAGCATCTTGCTCAAGGTTAAATTGAACTTAGGGGACATACTTAGTCTTTCTCCTCAGATGATACCCTTGACCACCATAAGTCCTTGCCTGTGATTTCCACTTTTGTTTTTTTATCGGAGGATGCATTTCTTTAAGTAAAATTAGCACACAATGTTATATTAGTTTCAGGTGTATAATATAGTGGTTGGAAAATTCTATGCATTATTCATTGCTCACCACGGTAAGTGTGGTCATCTATAACCATACAGTATTATTACAGTATTATTGACTATATTCCCTATGTTGTACTTTTAATCTCTGTGACTTATTTATTTTATAACTGGAAGCTTTTGCTTCTTAAGTCCCTTTATCTGTTTCACTTACTCCCTACCCACCTCCCATTTGGCAACTAACTACCAGTTTGCTGTCTGTGTTTAAGTCTGTTTTTGCTTGTTTGTTCATTGGTTTTGCTTTTTAGATTTTACATATAAGCGAATGCCTTCTTTCACTTAACATTATACCCGCAAGGTCCATCTATGTTGTTGCAAATGACAAGACATCATTCTTTTTTTATGGCTCAGTAGTATTCCAGTGTGTGTGTGCGGGCAC